GCTGGCCTCACTTGTCGCGGATGATCTAGCTAACACCAAATCTCCTGTTGTTTTTGCACCTATCAAATGGAACAACTTCTGATGGTTACCAAGGACAGCGGCTGTCTTCATCTCTAACGCACGATGTGACCACCAGGCACCGTGGTCAATCTCCAGACTAGTACGCAGTTTCGCCCTAAGATCTTTGTGAGCCGCATTACACTCGCTTCTGCCGGAACACGTTTTTGAGCATCCAGTATTTCAAGAGACTTCGTAGAGACTCAATATCCCATTTGGCAACTCGATTAGCTGTATGAAGTTATGCTTGCTACCAATAACGTCTAGTGGATGTGCGACTAGTGAGCTTTAGCTGTGTTCAGTGAACGCTTACTCAAGGTACTTTAATAATCGTACATAACGTCTGCCTTCGTTAGTTGGAAAGTACATTTGCGTTCAAAGTGACGTTGCGGTTGTCCGCCGAAACGCACCCGCAGGTCGGAGCAAACAAGCGCATGGTCAGACCCCACGCTCGTGCCGTAGATCGAGCGACAGTTTTGGACACATCCTCTCCTGAGGAAACTGCTCGTAAGGTGATAGCTTTGTTTCCAAGACTGATGGGCGCCATGTCACCCCCCGACGAGTGCCGTGTCAGAAGTAAGTGTACGCGAGAAATAAGTTAGCATATTTACTAAATTTTAGTAATCGCTGAGCGTTACCCTTAAGGGAGCCTAGATCGTTTTTGCCGCCTAGATGAAACTCATCAGTGGGCCTCTAAATCACCAACAAGCCTTTCAGTATCCCTACCTTTTCTATAACGAAGGAGCAAGTTAAAATTGTGATAAACTTTAACGGAATAAAGACAAAAATATGCGGGTCCGTGGTCCGCAATAACAAACAGGCAGCGTTTGTCCCTACGCGACTTCGGTGCTGTAACTAGCCAGTCAATCTGACAGCGCACATTTAGCTTCTGACTAGGATCCAATCGATCGGGGCAGATTTGGGACGAGGTTCAGAGTAATGTCTACACTGACCTGAACGATATTTTAAGCCGAGTTATCGAACAAACGCAGTGAGTAAATACCACCAATGTAGCGCGTTGGATATCGGAGGGTAACCAGGGAACGCGTATGTTGCGAGCGAGATTCTGATAAGCAGCCAATGTCGTTTGATAGGGTCTCCAGTGTTGCCTGTTGCAAATCTCCATCAAAGTCTTTGCACTGAGGCATGCCAGTCTTAAGCTGGATCGGTGGCTACTAAGAGAAGCAGATGAACTGACTTTGTCTCGTGGTCGGATATGCACTTTTCGACTGGACCGGAGCGACGCCTTGCGAATGCGTGTAATTCGAAACAATTATGTAGATGTTTACTGAATCAGTATGGTGGTGTGCCTAGAATTGGGGGTGGGAAACATATAAGATATAAATAAAGTTGACGCGGGACGATAAGGCTGCAAGTGCAAGCAAAGAAAGAAGACGCGGAAGGCTAGAGCAGTAGTATACCTAACCGTCGTCACACTGCCCAATGCAGCAGATAGAGCGCCAGACCAGAATATCAAGAAATTGTGTTAAGGTAAAGTCGTTGTATTGTGTGGGCAAGATACTGTCAGGTTGTCCAGGTCTAGACAGCACAGCCATTAAGGTACTCACCCAACGCCTTTGATTCATAAATCTGATCGCAAGACAGAGGGTTTTGGCACTGGTAACGAGTAAGAAGCCACCCTCAATCCAACCCGCAACCTTGAGGGTCAGGAGACTGAGTTTGTCTAGCATCTAACCATTGACCAATCTGGTATGAGTGGCTCTGAAAGTGCAAAAACATCACCCAGCATAGCCCAATGGATCGCTGAGGCACGCAAAAACGTCGTACCCCATTAAGGTCCAGTCATACCACGATGAAGTGCAGTTTAGTTGCTATGGTCAGTCTCCTCGCGATGGTCACTGAACAACACCAGCTAATATGAGGTGGCAGAACGTTCGCGTTACACTTTCACTGGAATGCGAATCGAAACAGACTTATGCTTCGCCAGTTTACTAAATTTGTATTTTACTAGTCGCGCTATACAATATCACCTGTAAGGTAATAAGAAAGTTGCAAGTAAATTTTAAGCTACTGCATCTGTCTTACTTCATTCACTTGAACGTAATACGGAATGTTGTCAGACCTACGTGAGTTGCGCAACAGCACGAGACTTTGGGTTTGGCTAAGTTAACACCAATCAATGGCGGTTGTAAATGATCAACAATTATGACAGCTTGCATATACTTTTCACTTAAGGTCGTCTTGCATTCACAGCCGGTTTAGTCAATAGTAATAACCATCACTGATTGGCAACACCCATCCCGCTTGCAAAGACAGTGGACTTTGCCAGGTGCTTCACAACTAGAGTGTGCACAATCATCGTTCCATCAAGGCAGTACAGCCTAAGCGTGGGAAATTGTTCCTATATGGTTCCCGGAAAATTATATCCGTTTCTCTTACCATGTTGAGCACCAGTTGTTCATTCTCGTTTACTCAACAAAACACAAAGAGTAGTTGGGAAGAACAGCAGGAGCTGAACTAGGCTGGACCTTCTAATCTTTTTCTTGAGTGGGAAACAAAAGTGCACCAGTCAGCTGGCAACCTTTCGCTAGTAAGACGGGGATTCATGGTAACAGCAAAAAGTTCAGAATGTAGGTGCCTTCTAATCAAAAGTATTCCATGTGGGATTTCGCAGTCACCCTGTTTCTTATCCCTTAACTCTGCAAAAGATTTCTTCCTTGTTTGAACTCATCAGGTGTTTGGGTAAACCGAGACCAATAAGCAACTTCTAATCATGTTGTCGAGTGCCAACTGAACGAGTGACTGGCTTGGTAATCTCGGCATTAGCTCGGATTAATCCAAATTCTGACAATATTATTCTGAAAAAAGGACATTTAGGACTAGAAGCGTCTTGAAGTACAGAGAAAACAAACGAGAGGAACGCTGAAATCTTCCACTTCGGAAAAGTATGCCTGTGTCAGATTTCAAGGTCAACATTGGCTCTGATTGAGGTAGGACATCACAATTTTTTACAAGGTGAGTATTCCAGAATCGCATACTTATGGAGGGGATTGGCCTATGTTTTGGGCCGTTATTAGTGCCCATTTTTTAGTCTGTCATGCTGAGGCTAATGTTTCATTCTTGATGCTTCTTCACCGCAGTTGTGCTAAACCAACTTACACTTAAACTAGGTCATTTTAAGATGGATTAATTTTATTCTACTTTATTTGGTTTGTTCTGACTACCTGAATAATCTTCTATTCACTAGCTATG